CCCAGCCAGCCTCCCAGCCCCTCTCTTTCCTTTGGGGCTCTTCAGCCAGGTTGGGACGGCAATGGCCAAAATTCCTGGGCCTCATGCTGCTGGGGAATTCTGGGAGTTGTAGTTCCCATATCTTTGAAGAGCTCGGATTGAGGAAGGCTACTTACCATACAGCAGATCCCACCTTTCACTCCATTATATCCTTGACTCACTTGTCCCATTGTACCCTTGAGCTGATTGCCTCACCCGTCCAAAGTCATGGCTGTTCTCTCTCTTTCGCCATTCTTGCTCAGCTCACTGCACTTTTCAAAGAAATGACTAGTAGACACAGTTTGTTTTAAAATCCACATACCGGGCTGCCATTACCTGCTGAAGCTGTACACATAGAAAGTCACATACAGGAATTCATACTCTTCTGACATTCTCCAAAGGCTCTTACAGTATTTCTCTTTGGTGTTCTACAAACAATTGCCCATCTGCATTTTTCTTTTCAGCCTTTCTTCATTTTAGCCTAGCACATTGTGGGAATTTACAGATGAATGTGATATGGGAACTCAGAAACCTGGATTCCAGAAATCAGTGTTACACTAGGTTTAAGGGTAACATACAAATATAGCCACTACAATATACTGAAATGTATTTAATGTCAGTCAGTTCTGTGAATGTGCAAAGTTGCTCCATACAACCTTTTCCTAGCCTGAAGAAGAAAAGTGTTGGGGTGATGTTGGTGTATGAAGATTGAAGCACTTAAATGGTAAACATGGGAAGAAACAGCTCTCTTTACCATATTCCAGTTTTATCCTAAAACCAATACTTTCTTATGCTTTATATACTGTAAAGGCTAGGGGAGGTCATTATGAATGGTGTGAAATGTGAATTATTCTGGTACAGTGCACAGAAACCTATGGTTAGCTGTGAATTTAGGTCAGCATAATGGGTGAAACAGCACTTCATTTACTGGAAATTTATATTAGTTTTTATAACCTTGTTTTCCCTGTTTGAACAAATGCCAGTATTCCAGGTCTAGATTTATATTTGCAGTTTATTATTAAATTCAGTTAATTCACAGACACTGAGTCTTATGACTTGAGAAGTTTCTGGCAGCACATTTTCTGATAAAACTGTGAATATCAGCTTTTGTATAAATATATTCTAGCCATAATGCATGCACAGACGAGGAGGGGGGAACCCCTTAAAGAATGAGAACAAAATGAGAGCAGAAAAATGCCCAAAGTATAAATATTAAATATTAAAATATTTATTAATATTTTAAAAAACCTGTTTGTTATTTTAAGGTTCTCATTATGTCTTAGAGCAGTTATCACATTATTTATGTAACATCCTTGCTCTTAAGCTAGACCTGACTGATGCACTGAACTATACAAATTCAGCACCATGCCTTGTCTAATTATTAGTAAACTTCACCAAAAGCTACAAAAATAAAGCTTACTGACAACAGATCCCTACACTGCCTTGGGATTTGGGAAGTTGACATTCTATCTGTCTAGGGACACCAAGCTACGGAAGCCTGCTCTAGCTGAGTGGTTTGGAACCACGAATTTTTTATTTTATTTTTTTGGTTGTAGCTCATATATGAAGAAAATGCTGCAGGAATGAATAATTAGCACTTAATGCTGGGAAGAAGTGGTCTTTGAAATACTCTGCTAAATTTCTTTTCAGGGAAAGTTATTTATTTATAAATCATATTTGTAAAGCTGTCCAACTCTAGGCAATTCTGGGTGGAGAACAATAAAAACAATATCAAAACAATTGAGGAAGGCAAAATGGTTAACCTGGAGGGAACAACCCATGGCCTATGTCACACACTCTCCTTCCCAAAAAAGCCACACATAGCTTGAGGCCTGGGGGAAGAGCCAAGTCTTTAAGGTTTGCTTGAAGGAGAGCAGAGTAGGGGCTATTCAAATCTCTAGAGGATGTGTTCTTGTCAACCCATTACAATTCCAGAGGGCAGGCACTGCAACAGTAAAGGCACACTTCTGGGAGCTGACATTGCTTAATGAATGCCATGTAGGGCTTGATAGCTAATCACCAGCATCTTGAATTGCAACCAGTATAGTTCACAATGCAGAGATGTTACATGACCATACTGAGGTATGCCTGTTCTTGCTCACACTGCCACATTCTGGACCAGTTGCAGCTTCTGGATGGTCTTCAAGGGCAGCCCCATGTACAGCAAGGCATGAGTGATCATGAGGAAGGCTCCCCAGTACAAGAATGAGCACTTCTGATACACCAGATGGATCTCTACAAAGGTCTTCCTTGTCACTGCTGCCACCTGCTGTTTGAACAGGAGCTGAGAGTCCAGAAGGATTCCAAATTGCACATCAGCCCTGACTGGGGAAGTGCAACCCCACCCAGAACTAAGGGTGGACATTCCCTAGATCTGGGTGGACCCAACACCCAGTCACTTGGTCTTGTTAGGGTTGAACCTGAGTCTGTTCCTCCCTATCCAAACCCCAGCAGCCATCAGGCATTGGAACAAGATGTTGCATCCCTTGGTCAGCCTGGATTTGGGAAATGCACCTGAGTATCATTGGCATACTGATGATTCCTCTGAACCAATGGATGAACTTGCTCAGCAGTCTCATGTAGATGTTAAACAGGAGGGGTGAGAACATTAAGTCCTGTGGCACTCCAAAAAGAGGTAAAATGGCTTTGCACTCTATCATTTCCCTCCTATCAATACAGACTAGAACTGGCCATGGAGAAAGGAGGAAAACCACCACAAGTGCAGTCAATACCATCTCCACATTATGTCCCAGCCTGAAACCCAGCTGAAAAGGGTCTAAATAATCCATTTCCTCCAGGGCTGTCTGAAGCTGCAGCCTGACTACTTTCTTTTCAACCTTCACCAAAAAGGAGAGGTTCGAGCCTAGACAAAATTTGTCTAGAACCATTGGGTTCAGTGGTGGCTTCTTGAGGGTACATGCCACACCCTCCTTAAAAGAAGCTGTCACTATGCACTGGGCCCAACCACCTGGGAGGCTTTCAGTGACCCAGGGGCACATGGATCTAAGGAATAGGTGGCCAAGCTTACAGTCTTGAGGATCTTGTCTACTTCCTCAGGAGTTACAGAGTCAAACTTTTCCCAGCTAGTGAAGCAAGACTGCTCTTCTATCATTTCAATCAGACCTGCTGAGTCTGAGTCCAACTCTAGACTCAGCAGGTCTAGAGCTGGACTCTAGATGCCTAGAATATTCTTCACAGAAACCCAATAGATGGTCCTATGGCCTGCCTCTCCGTACTATGGATGAATCACCTTAAAAATACAGCTGGATGGCTATCTGTTGGTGCAGTGAGAATGGAAAAACAGCTATGTTTTGCTGCTTTTATCACCACAATGAAATCCCTAATATGGGCACATCTTATACATGCTGGGTTGGATTCACTTGTTGTCTTCCTCCAGTGGCACTCTAGGCATCTTTTCTATTATGGAGTCCTTGGAGTTCTCTGAGCTTGGTTGTTTTCTTGCAAACATTTCATTACCTGGCTAGGTAACATCTTCAGTGCTAGAATGGAATGGGGTTTGCTCTCAATATATAAACAGAGAGCAAACCCCATTCCATTCTAGCACTG